AATGCCCATCTACAGATGAATGTATAAAGAAGATGTGGTACATACATACATATATACAATGGAATACTACTCAGCCATAGAAAAGAACGAAATAAGGCCATTTGCAGCAACATGGAAGCAACTAGAGATTATCATACTAAGTGAAGTAAGTCAGAAAGAGAAAGACAAATACCATATGATATCACTTATATGTGGAATCTAAAAGATGACACAAATGAACCTATCTATGAAACAGAAACAGAATCAGGTACAGAGAAATGCAGAAAAGTAAAATCATTTTTCATTATTCTGAAAAATTATTGAAAGCAATAAGGGAAAAACTACAATAACATACAAGGGAACTCCCATAAGGTTAACAGCTGACTTCTCAGCAGAAACTCTACTAGCTAGAAGGGAGTGGCATGACATATTTAAAGTGATGAAAGGAAAGAACCTACAACCAAGATTACTTTACCAGGCAAGGATCTCATTCAGATTCGACACAGAAATCAAAAGGTTTACCGACAAGCAAATGCTAACAGAATTCAGCACCACCAAACCAGCACTACAACAAATGCTAAAGGAACTTTTCTAAGTGGGAAACACAAGAAAAGGATGTACAAAAACAAGCCCATAACCATGAAGAAAATGGTAATAGGAACATACATATCGATAATTATCTTAAACATGAATGGATTAAATGCTCCAACCAAAAGACACAGGCTTGCTGAATGGATACGAAAACAAGACCTGTATATATGCTGTCTACAAGAGACACACTTCAGAACTAGGGACACATATAGACTGAAGTGAGGGGATGGAAAAAGATATTCCATGCAAATGGAAATCAAAAGAAAGCTGGAGTAGCAATACTCATATCAGATAAAATAGACTTTAAAATAAAGAATGTTACAAGACACAAGGAAGGACACTACATAATGATCAAGGGATCAATCCAAGAAGAAGATATAACAATTATAAATATATATACGCCCAACATAGGAGCACCTCAATACATATGGCAACTGCTAACAGCTATAAAAGAGGAAATCGACAATAACACAATAATAGTGGGGGACTTTAACACCTCACATACACCAATGGACAGATCCTCCAGACAGAAAATTAATAAGGAAACACAAGCTTTATGACACAATAAACCAGATAGATTTAATTGATATTTATAGGACATTCCATCCAAAACCAGCAGATTATACTTTCTTCTCAAGTGCACACGGAACATTCTCCAGGATAGATCACATCTTGTGTCAGAAGTCAGGCCTCAGTAAATTTAAGAAAATTGAAATCATAACAAAGCACCTTTTCTGACCACAGTGCTATGAGATTAGAAATCAATCACAGGGAAAAAAATGTAAAAAACACAAACTCATGGAGGCTAAACAATACGTTACTAAATAACCAAGAGATCACTGAAGAAATCAAAGAGGAGGGCTTCCCTGGTGGCGCAATGGTTGAGAGTCCTCCTGCCCATGTGGGGGACGGGGGTTTGTGCCCCGGTCTAGGAGGATCCCGCATGCTGCGGGGCGGCTGGGCCCGTGGGATATGGCCGCTGGGCCTGCGCGTCTGGAGCCTGTGCTCCGTGGCGGAGGAGGCCACAGCAGTGAGAGGCCAGCGTCCCGCAAAAAAAAAAAAAAAAAAAGAAATCAAAGAGGATATCAAAACATATCTAGAGACAAATAACAATGAAAACACGATGATCCAAAACCTATGGGATGCAGCAAAAGCAGTTCTAACAGAGAAGTTTATAGCAATACAATCCTACCTCAAGAAACAAGAAAAACCTCAAATACACAATCTAACCTTACACCTAAAGGAACTGGAGAAAGAAGAACAAATAAAGCCCAAAGTTAGTAGAAGGAAAGAAATCATAAAGATCAGAGCAGAAATAAATGAAATAGAAACAAAGGAAACAATAGCAAAGATCAATGAAACTAAAAGCTGGTTTTTGAAAAGATAAACAAAACTAATAAACCTTTAGCCAGACTCATTGAGAAAAAGAGGGAGAGGACTCAAATCAATATAATTAGAAATGAAAAAGGAGAAGTTACAGTGGACACTGCAGAAATACAAAGCACCATAAGAGACTACTACAAGCAACTCTATGCCAATAAAATGGACAACCTGGAAGAAATGGACAAATTCCTAGAAAGGTATAACCTTCCTAGACTGAACTAGGAAGAAAGAGAAACTATGAACAGACCAATCACAAGTAATGAAATTGAAACTGTGATTAAAAATCTTCCAACAAACAAAAGTCCAGGACCAGATGGCTTCACAGGTGAATTCTATCAAACATTTAGAGATGAGCTAACACCCATCCTTCTCAAACTTCCAAAAGAATTGCAGAGGAAGGAACACTCCCAAATTCATTCGAGGCCACCATCACCCTGATACCAGAAACAGGCAAAGATACTACAAAAAAAGAAAATTACAGACCAATATCACTGATGAATATAGACGCAATAATCCTCAACAAAATACTAGCAAACAGAATCCAACAACACATTAAAAGGATCATACACCATGATCAAGTGTGGTTTATCCCAGGGATGCAAGGATACTTCAATATATGCAAATCAATCAATGTGATACACCATATTAACAAATTGAAGAATAAAAACCATATGATCATCTCAATTGATGCAGAAAAAGCTTTTGACAAAATTCAACACCCATTTATGATAAAAACTCTCCAGAAAATGGGCATAGAGGGAAACTACCTCAACATAATAAAGGCCACAGACAACAAACCCAGAGCAAACATCATTCTCAATGGTGAAAAAACTGAAAGCATTTCCTTTCAGATCAGGAACAAGACAAGGATGTTCACTCTCACCACTATTATTCAACATCGTTTTGGAAGTCCTACCCACCGCAATCAGAGAAGAAAAAGAAATAAAAGGAACACAAATTGGAAAAGAAGAAGTAAAACTGTCACTGTTTGCAGATGACATGATATTATACATAGAGAATCTTAAAGATGCCACCAGAAAACTACTAGAACTAATCAATGAATTTGGTAAATTTGCAGGATACAAAATTAATGCACAGAAATCTCTTGCATTCCTATACACTAATGATGAAAAAGCTGAAAGAGAAATTAAGGAAACACTCCCATTTACCACTGCAACAAAAAGAATAAAATACCTAGGAATAAACCTACCTAAGGGGGTAAAAGACCTGTATGCAGAAAACTATAAGACACTGATGAAAGCAATCAAAGATGACACAAACAGATGGAGAGATATACCATGTTCTTGGATTAGAAGAATCAATATTATGAAAATGACTATACTACCCAAAGCAACCTACAGATTCAGTGCAATCCCTATCAAATTACCAGTGGCATTTTTTACAGAACTAGAACAAAAAATCTTAAAATTTGTATGGAGACACAAAAGACCCCGAATGGCCAAAGCAGTCTTGAGGGAAAAAAATGGAACTGGAGGAATCAGACTCCCTGACTTCAGACTATACTACAAAGCTACAGTAATCAAGACAATATGGTACTGGCACAAAAACAGGAATATAGATCAATGGAACAGGATAGAAAGCCCAGAGATAAACCTATGCACCTATGGTCAACTACTCTATGACAAAGGAGGCAAGGATATACAATAGAGAAAAGACAGTCTCTTCAATAAGTGGTGCTGGGAAAACTGGGCAGCTGCATGTAAAAGAATGAAATTAGAACACTCCCTAACACCATACACAAAAATAAACTCCAAATGGATTAGAGACCTAAATGTAAGACAGGACACTATAAAACTCTTAGAGGAAAACATAGGTAGAACACTCTTTGATATAAATCACAGCAAGACCTTTTTTGACCCACCTCCTAGAGTAATGGAAATAAAAAGAAAAATAAACACATGGGACCTAGTGAAACTTAAAAGCTTTTGCACAGCAAAGGAAACTATAAACAAAATGAAAAGACAACCCTCAGAATGGGAGAAAATATTTGCAAACGAATCAACGGACAAAGGATTAATCTCCAAAATACATAAACAGCTCATGAAGCTCAATATTAAAAAAACAAACAACCTAATCAAAAAAATGTGCAGAAGACCTAAATAGACATTTCTCCAAAGAAGACATACAGATGGCCAAGAGGCACATTAAAAGCTGCTCAACATCACTAACTATCAGAGAAATGCAAATCAAAACTACAATGAGATATCACCTCACACCAGTTAGAATGGGCATCATCAGAAAATCTACAAACAGCAAATGCTGGAGAGGGTGTGGAGAAAAGGGACCCCTCTTGCACTGTTGGTGGGAATGTAAATTGATACAGCCACTATGGAGAACAGTATAGAGGTTCCTTAAAAAACTAAAAATAGAATAACCATATGACCCAGCAATCCCACTACTGGGCATATACCCAGAGAAAACCATAATTCAAAAAGACATATGTACCCCAATGTTCAATGCAGCACTATTTACAATAGCCAGGTCATGGAAGCAACCTAAATGCCCACTGACAGATGAATGGATAAAAAAGATGTGGTACATATATACAATAGAATATTACTCAGCCATAAAAAGGAACGAAATTGGGTCATTTGTAGAGATGTGGATGGAACTAGAGACTGTCATACAGAGTGCAGTAAGTCAGAAAGAGAAAAACAAATATCGTATATTAACGCATATATGTGGAATCTAGAAAAATGGTACAGATGAACCAGTTTGCAAGGCAGAAACAGACACAGATTTAGAGAACAAACATATGGACACCGAGGGGAGGAAGTGGGGCGCGATGGTGCTGGTGGGATGAATTGGGAGATTGGGATTGACATATATACACTGATACGTAAAAAACAGATAACTAATAAGAACCTACTGTATAAAAAAATAAATTGAAGAAAAGAAGGTAATGGGTAATACTGTCAAATGAATAAAAAAGAAGTCTTTCTCTGTATGCAAATTTTAGACCATAATCAGTATGGCTCCACTGTGAATTCTTACTTTTCCAATTACGCAGGCTTATGTATACTTACTTAAAGTATTCATCAGGAGGCCATTGCTGTCATGATGTTTATTATGACCAGCCACTATCTCAGGAATCCTGCACTGTGGCATGGTAGACATGGTAGGATGTTCTGAGACATAATTCCCTGGATCAGAAGGAGAGGATCTGCACTCTTCATCTTCTGAATCACTAGAACTATCCTTACTGCTTGAAGATGATGAACTTTTGGAATCTGATGAACTATCACAACTACTCATCTGGTCCATTAGACTAGCTTCTGCCTTCAGTTCTGAAAATAAAACAGAAGTTAATAGTTAGCGTAAATAAATATTAACTATAAATATTAAATAAATATAATAAAATTTGAATGTATCAGTTTCTAACAAACTTGATGGGGAATAAATAAGACTAAACATACATTTACAGATTTAAAGCATTTTATTTAAAAAGCTCCTCTACTAGTAGAAAATGAAAAGTAAAATCCCTCTTCTTACCCCCTCCTCAAGTTCCTTTAATCCTACTCTCCAGGAATAATCACTTCTAACACTTTCTTGTGACCATATATGTTTTAAAATTCTGCTTGGAAACTGGCATTTTAGATTTTGACACCAACTCACCTACTGTTAGAGCTTGAGTGTGGTCTTTGTTACTAACCAACCAAGAGTTAAAAAAAAAATGTCAGGACTTCCCTGGTGGTGCAATGGTTAAGAATCCGCCTGCCAATGCAGGGGACATGGGTTCAAGCCCTGGTTCGGGAAGATCCCACATGCTGTGGAGCAACTAAGCCCATGCGCCACAACTACTAAGCCTGCTCTCTAGGTGCTGCAAGTCACAACTACTGAGCCCGCATGCCACAACTACTGAAGTCTGTGCACCGCAACAACAGAAGCCACCACAATGAGCAGCCTGTGCACTGCAATGAAGAGTAGCCCCCGCCCGCCCCAACTAGAGAAAGCCTGCGTGGAGCAGCAAAGACCTAATGCAGCCAAAATAAATAAATTAATTAATTAATCTCTTTTAAAAGTCAACTTTTCTAGCAAAAATTGCATCCCTGAACCCAAACCTTTCTTTCCCAGCTCTTCTCTGGTAGTCTTTCTTTCTCCCTGTCCTATGTCTGGACAACATATACACATAGTTCTCAGACGCCCCAAAAAGTAAAATAAAAAGCTCCTCTGCTATCAAGCTGAGCTATATTCAATGTTGGGATTATGAAAAGTAAAAGACATAGGCAATATCTAAACTTAAATACTATATTTACTTATGCCATTATACTTAATTACCCATGTAACTCAAATAAAATATAAAAAAGAATGTGAACGTTTTAAATTGTAAAAATTGAAATCTGTTTTGTTAGAAACTGACCTCCAATTCTTTTCTTATTCCCCCAGTACATGTAATGCAACACAATACATAGAGATGAATTTTTTCAGCTTTACTGAGGTATAATTGGCAAAAAACTTGCACATATAAAAAGTGTACAACATGATGCTCTGATATACATATACATTGTGAAATGATTACCATAATCAAGTTAACACATAATCTCACATAGTTACCATTTTGTGTGTGTGTGTTTGTGTATTGTGGTAGAAACACTTGTCTTGACTAGCCTGCTGCTGTTGGATACCCCTTCCAATCTGGGAGAAGAATAAGCTAACTGAGATGCTTTCTGTAACTAAGCTGGAGTCAGGACATGCTGGGCCTGAATTGCCATCTTCTGAAGGGGGAGGTTACAAGATGCCCTGAATATGTTGTTCTTCTAGTGCTTCCTTGGGTCCCTAACCAGATTACCTTCCTCTTTCCATCTTTCAGATTTCTCCTTTGATTGTCTTTTGCATTATTTCCAGGGTTTATAGTTTTACTTAGTGGGGAGAAGCAGAAATAGATAAGTCTATGTCATCTTGTTCCACAATATATTTTAAGAGACTGATCTTATACAGAGTATGTTCTCTATCATCTTATACAGAGTATGTTCTCTATCAAAACAAAATAATTTAAAATTTATAAATGGAACCTAGATAATATTCAAGTAGTTGAGAACTAAACACACTTCTAAGAAACCCATGGGTCAAATACAAAATCAAAAAGATTTCAGAAAATATGTCTAATTGAATGAAAATAAAAACACAACTTATCAAAATCTGTGGAATACAACTAAAGCACAGCTTGGAGAGAAATTTGAAACATTACATGATTATACTGGGGGGGAAAGGAGGTCTCAATTAAATGAACTAAGCTGTACCTTAAGAAGTTAGAGAAAGAAGAGCAAATTAAAACTAAAGTAAGCAGAAGGAAAAAATAGCAAAAGCACAAAACAAGAAAGACAACAGAAAAAAAAGTGAAAATAAATGAAACATAAATTGACTGCTTGAGATAAATAATGTTGATCAAACTCAACCAGGTTTATCAAGAAAAAGAAGATACTAGATATAAATTACTAATATCCAGAGTGAAAGAGGTGACAGCACTACAGATCTTACAGCATTAAATGAATAGAAAGGAACACTGTGAACTACTTTATGTCCACAAACTCAATAAATTAGATGAACTGGATCAATTCCTTGAAAGGCACAAACTACTAAATTTCACTCAAGAAGAAACAGATAACCAGAATATCCATAAATCTTCTAAAAAAAACTGAGTTGTAGTTAAAACCCTCCCCACACCCTACACACAGAGCTCCAGTGACAGATAACTTCACTAGTGAATTCTACCAGTTATTTAAGGAAGAAATAATGTCAGTTCGATACAAATGCTTCTGTATAATTAAAAAGGAAGAAATACTTTCCAATTCATTCCTTAGGGCCAGAATTACTGATACAAAATCCAACAAAGACATTACCAGAAAAAAATAATGTCCCTTATGAACAGACACAAAATTTTTAAAGAAAATTTTACCAAATCAAATTTAATAATATATAACAGTGGTTTTCAACCAGCTATGATTTTGTCACCCAGGGAGACATCTGGCAATCTGGAGACATTTTTGGTTGTCACAACTGGGGGCAAGTGGTGATACTAACATCTAGTGGGTAGAAGCTAGAGATGCTGCTAAACATCCTACAATGCATAAGACAGCCCCTGACAAAGAACCATCCAACTCCAAATGTCACTATTGCTGAGGTTAAGAAATGTCCTATATTAAAAGGACAATACATCATGATTAAGTGGGGTTTTCCAAGGAATACAAACTTTCAAAAATCAATCCATATAATTCACTATATTAAAAACTGAAAAATAAAAGCCATCTCAAAACAGCAGAAATTTCAACAGTGATTCTTGATAAAAACTCAGCAAAATAGAAATATAAGTTAACCTTATGAAGGACATCTAGGAAAAGCTTACAGCTGAAATCATACATAATTGTAAGGGACTGAATATTTTCCCTCCAGCATCAGAAACAAGAGGTTTTCCACTTTGACCACCTCTAGGCAACGTTGTATTGAAGGTTCTAATTGGTGCAGTAAGTCATGAAAGAGAAATAAAAGCCATCCAGATTGGAAAAGAAGAGGTGAAACTGTCATTATTTACAGATAACATGATTGTCTATGTAGAAAAGCTGATGGTATCTACAAAAAAGCTCTAGAATAGTGAGTTTAGCAAGGTTAAATACACAGGGACAATATACAAAAATCGGCTTTATTTCTATGTACTAGAAATGAGCAATTAGAAATTAAAATCATATAAACAAGAGCATTTATAATAGCTTCTGAAAATTAAATAACTATTAAAAAATTAAATAATTATAGATAATTCTGACAAAATATTTGAAGGACCTGTATGTTGAAAACCATAAAGCATTTCTGAGAGAAATTAAAGATCTAAATAAATGGAGAGAGATACTGTGTTCATGGGTCAGAAGACTCAATATTGTTAAGATGCCAATTTTACACAAATTGATCTATGGATTCAGTGCAATCCCAATAATAATTTCAACAGGCTCTTTAAGAAACTGAGAAGCTAATTCTAAAATTCACATGAAAATGGAAGAGTCCTAGAATACACAAAACAACTTTGTAAGAGAAGAACAAAGTCGTAGGACTAAAATTTCCTGGTTTCAAGACTTATTATAAAGCTACAATTATCAAGACAATATGGTATTGCCATGAAGATAAACAAATAGATCAATATATCAGAATAAAGAGTCCAGAAATAGACACACACAATATGGACAACTGATTTCTTTTTTACAAAGGTGCAAATATATGAGGAAAGTCTTTTCAACAAATGGTGCTGAATAATTCAATATCCACATGCAAAAAAAACACCTTTGATACATACCATGTACCATATACAAAAACTGACTCAAAATGAAGCATGGGCCTAAATGTAAAACTATAAAACTTCTAAAAGAAAACATGAAAGAAAACCTTTGTTACTATGATCTTGGTTTAAGCAAAAAATTTCAATATGACACCAAAAGGAGAATCCAGAAAAAAATGGATAAAGTGCATGTATTCAAAATTAAAATCTTTGGCTCTTCAAATTACATTGTTAAGAGAATGAAAAAATATAATCCACAGACTGGGAGAAAATATTTGCAAGGCATGTATCTGATGAAGAACTTGTATTCAAAATATATAAAGAATTCCTAAAAGTCTAATAAGAAAATAAATAATCCAATTTTTTAAATGGCAAAAGATTTGAATAGACATTGTGCCTGAAGAAAATATAATGATGGCAAATAAGGACATGAAAAGATACTCAACATCATTAGTCATTAAGGAAATGCAAACTAAAGTGACAATGAATATGATCCAACAATCCCACTCCTGGGCATATATCTGGACAAAACCATAATTCAAAAAGATACGAGTACCCCTATGTTCACAGCAGCACTATTTACAATAGCCAAGGCATGGAAACACCTAAATGTCTATTGATAGATGAATGGATAAAAAAGATGTGGTGTGTACACACACACACACAAACACACACACACACATATACACACAATGGAATACTACTCAGCTATAAAAAAGAATGAAATAATGCCATTTGCAGCAACATGGATAGACCTAGAGATTATCATAGTAAGTGAGGTAAGTCAGAAAGAGAAAGACAAATACCATATGATATTACTTATATGTGGAATCTAAAACATGACACAAATGAACTTATCTATGAAACAAAAACAGACTCATATACACAGAGAACAGACTTGTGGTTGCCAAGGGGGAGAGGTGGTGGAGAGGGATGGATTGGGAGTTTGGGATTACCAGATGCAAACTAGTATACACATTGGGTTGGCCAAAAAGTTCACTCAGGTTTTTCTGCTGAATCGCTTTG